TCACCAACGGGCTGAGAGCGGGAAACGCTCTTTATTCTAGCAGGTTCCAGGGGCAGCCATAAAGTCCAATGCTTTAGTTCCTTTCACTTCTACTTAGAACCCCCTCACACTCTCCTACTGCCGCAGAGGGTTCACAGTCAAGCAACAAGCAAGAGAGGATAATCTGCATTATGTCACATTATGTTCCCAAATATCAAATGAGAGAAAAAGCACAAGGGGAAACCACTAGCTTTCCAACAACCACAGTGAAAGTGTACGTGAAGGGCGCATAAAGACCGGGTTTACCTCCTGCTCATCAGGTTTCTGCTGTCCTCGTGTTTCTTCCTCTTCTTCCTCCACAGATGGCGGGATGCTGTTGTTGATGTTGAACGTAACCGTTATCCTATAAAAGAACCATAAGCAATATTTTAAACACAAAAAAGAAAATACTGCATCTCTCTTATTCGAAACTTTTCTAGCGGGTAGCGTGTTACAGTGAATTTTGAACAAAATTCAAAATGCTTTATGCATTCTCGTTTACTTTGTCCTCTCCTCATATGGTATCATCCCAGTTTAGAGCTCAGGATACACACACAAACAAAACTGACTTCCTCCGATCGCTCTCACAAGCGACATTTTATCAGACAGATTTCTTATTCTTTTAGCGCGGGAAGCCCTCACAAATCTTTGCAAAGGACAAGAAGTGCAAAAGCAGAGGAAGGAGGCGGCAGTGAATGGGGCACGCCGAGCCCCGGCGGTGCCCGCGGGGGCCGCTTACTTCTCGCCCGCGACCTTGCGGAGCAGCTTGGCCTCGGTGCCGTGGACCTGCAGCTCCCAGCCGCCGGACATCGCGGGCAGCGCCTTGTGCTTCTGGATCTTCCTCTCCTCTTTGATCTCGTCTGTCAGAAACTCGGCAAACGCTTTGTCTCCTGAGGAGGCAGAAACGAAAAGAATAGTAACAATTAAAGAACAACCATTTTAAAGGAGGGGAGGGGAGCAGGACACCGGTTGAGGGCAGGACATG